AAATTCCTCAGATCACAAATTTTAACATCTGAGAAGCTTCCAGTTCTCTTTATTGCCAGTAAAATCTCTTGTACATACCTTGTACTCTTTCTCACTCATAAGCATGTTCAGTTCTACTCTTCCACAATGGTATATTGAAATGCCCTCATACAAGCCATATACAAGCTTCCACAGCAAATTCCTTTCATTTCTTCGTGAGATGATTCCAAAAATTTTTACAGGTACTTCTGTTTTGATAATGTGCAAAAATACCTTTAAATATTGAATACATGTACTGCACAACCTCAACACACTACTAAGCAAGCTACAAGCATCACAAACTGAATCTATTTAAAGAGTATGGTTACTGTTCCCCACTCACGCATGGTTTAGCATATGGCCCAAAGGCATCTAGTCTGGGACTCCTTAAATCCTTATAGAAGAGTACTTGGCACCTGTGTTGGTCTGAGACAAGAAGACATACAAAACACTAGAACTCTTGGCTCCAAAATGATACCTTTTATTAGACAAACTGGAAAACAGCATGAAAACTGTCCTTTTCTGCATGCTTTCAGGATCAAAGTCCCTTCGTCAGACTCTGGGAAAGGCGTAGATGGTACAAGATGGTAAAGAGTCCCCATAGGTAGGAAATAAACTTCATTTTTGCACAGAGGGAGCTGAAGATGGAAGTCTGTCCCTCTGGGTCCATGATAGTGTCTTTGTGAGCTGTGTTGAGTAGCTCTTTGATGTGTTGATCAGGTAGAATTTCTTCCCTGGAGGTGTCAGATGGCAGGCAGGGAGGCAAAGCAAACTTCCTCGTTCTGCAATGAAGTTTAAAATCCAAAATTGGCTAAAATTCGACATCTTCCATGTTTCAGGGGTGTACCTGGTAGCCATGCTGATCTGAGACAAAAAGACATACAAAAGACTTTGATCCTGAAAGCTTGCAGAAAAGGACAATTTTCTTACCATTTTCCAGTTGGTCTAATAAAAGGTATCATTTTGGAACCAAGAGTTCTAGTTTTTTGTATGTCTTATAGAAGAGTAAACACTTGAGATGGTATCTCTCAACAACCACTGGTTTAGCTCTTACTAAATACCAAGAAACTTGAAATGACATTGATTATTATATCCAAGACATAATTTTCTTGAACCTCATCTATATACAAGGGAGAGTCAGCATAACCTACTCCATGTCAACCAAATTAAGTAAGGCCCTAAGGTACGGACCAAACTGCTCACATGGCTCTGGATTAGGCGTGGCCAGTGTTGGTAGATTCATATGTTAGTGTTTACCTGCTGTCCAAGGAACTGCTGAGATGCCCAATTTTTTAAAAAGTTCCACAGAGTCCATAGCTGGTGGTATGAATGGCCCACAGTGTCCTGGGTCCAACTTGAAGAAGCTGCAATAAACCACTTCTAACTGTCCATCTAGATTGTTCTCTAGGGACTGAAAGCAACAGTGTAATCAGATTCTGAGTTTTTAATTTTCATCTCAACCAATTTATACACCTGACCACTTACCTGAACTATTTTAGAATGAAGCGATTCTCTGAGTATTGGTTAAAAATAAGATGCATCTTAATAGATACTACTCTCCTATTTAAATGTTGCATATAGGACATCTGCCTCTGTACATCTGCCTTCCATCGCACTTGATGCATCGGAAACTTCTGAACCAGACCTTTACAATGTGTTCTCCAGACAGTAACTCTTCCGAAAGGTTTCAAAAGTCACATTTGTCTAACTCATAGGACTCTAATGATAAATTAATTGTCTTAACACTCTTGTGAAGAACTTCAACTACCAACTGCTTTACTCCTTTTAAAGAAGTGTAGTGATTTGCTCAAGACCTGGCCAGAAGTCCATTGCAGAGCTGGAAACAGGCAGGAGTCTTGGCCACCAAACTTTCATTTGTATGACTCCTCATCTAAAAACCCTCATGCCCCAGCAAAGGCCCACTGAAACTAATGGGGATCCACATATATACAATTCTTAATGCACTGGCTCAATTGCATCTCTCTGCAGCAAGGGTAAGCCCAAGCACATAGTAGTAGCAGCCTCCACAACAGAGAATGGAAGAATTTCTCTATTATTTTTCTGTAGTCAAAAAATAAATTAAAGCTAAGAGTTAACATTTTCTGAGGAATGCCTCCAATCTGATACAGTTGAGAACCACCGATTTATACTTACTGGGGAGGCTACAAGAAACATTAACAGATGTTAAAAAGGTGGGGGGGAAATCAAGCAGATGTGTGAGGTTATGTTAATTTCATATTTTTCTACTTGATTACAAACTTCTGAGATACAAATCTCAAACCAGAAACCAGACCCATACCTGCAAAGCTGGAAGAAAAGTCATGTCACTCTCTAAAGCTATCACCCTGGTGCCTGCATTAAGCAATGTCCGGGTCAAGATTCCAGGACCTGGGGAAAACACAAGATTTAATGCTTTTCTTTAATGTAGGCTTCTAAAAGGACACAGGTGGCATAAATGCACGGACACACACACTCCTCAATAAGCTAGAAACTTTGTATACCAGGGTGTCAAAGATCTGACTCATGGAGCTGTTTCACCCAGGGGTTGGGTCTACCAATATGGAGCCTTGCTGAGGAAAGGTGGATGGGGTGCAAGCAACAGCTGAATTAATCCCCACACCACTGTTGTTTGCCCCATAATTCTGTGAAGACTTGTGTGCATGTGTGTATATGTGCACGCACTCACACACAAACACTTAACTTCAACTGAAACACATGTGAGCAATGTTAAGTGCGCTTTTTGTAGGATACTTCTCTCTCTCAAATCTGGAGTTATCTTGAGTTATACTTCAATATTCTCTTCAAGCTCTACCAGCTTGCATGGATTTTTCAATCCAGATCTACATGCTTTCTGTTGTAGGGCTCAGCAACTTTGGAACAGGGAGTGAAGACTTTATGGTTGCAGTGTAAACAAGAAGACAAATTAAAGTGAGTCTACACTCACTGGAAATGTAACAAAACAAAACTTTTGAAATTAATGGTGTCAATCAATCAGTCAAAAAACGTCTAAAACTGAAATATTGCAATATATAAAAAAATGACAACAAACATGCCTTCTCCAAAATCCACTTTATAGAGGTGGTTAGGAATCCCCAAAACAGCCTTTTCTCTTATTTGTAACAACAGGGATCATTCCTCCCCGCTTCCCACACTGAACATCTTATTGAGTTAATAGTGTCATTTTCCCTACAGTTTAATGTTCTGTATTGAATTTGATTTAGAATCTTTAGAAAAGTCAAAATGTGGAAATTTTGCAATAATAAACCTTCCAAAAATCCTACCCATCAAAATGTCTTTTCTTCTATTGTCTGCCTTCTACCCATGGGAATTTCTCTCTTCTCCAGTTTCATAGGCCTCCACAATGTTTTTAGTTTTTTAGTTATGGCCATGCCTGCTTCTTCCTTCAGATCTGAAGGAGAATGCTTTGTCTAGGTCTGTGCAGTTGGCTCAAGAAAAGATAACACCTACAGAAATCTTGAGCCAATGACTGATAATTCAGTGACTGCAGCCCTACAGCTTGGGACATACAGACTTGTTTTCATTAGCCATAGCTTAGAGCTGATCCACAATACTGAACCAGGAAGAAAAATACCAAACTACCTTGGCTACAGAGAGCTGTAGAGCCCCGCTGCCATACTATCCCACCCACCATGAAACATTCTGCCCGAATGCCCTGCAACTCAAACAAACTAAGCAAACAAACAAGGAAACCCTGTGTGAGAATTAGTACCAGGGTGCAGGACTGGTGAGCAAGGATCTCTTAGCAAAACTGCAAGAATGATAGAATCCTGGAGCAAAAGGGCTGTGAGGAACCTCCAGGGTCAGGATCATCTCTGTCCAAACCGTCCCTTACATTAATTAATCTAAACTCTACGTAAGACAACTGTCAACCCTGACAACACAGACCTAGCACCCACACCTGCCACAGGTAAAGTAAGGGAACCATGGCAGCCAACATCCTGCTTCTATGAAATGCTGTTAATAATACACTAAATAGACCCCAAGGGAGAGGGCCAGGCCCCTTACTAGAGAGGAAAGCAACACCCACCCCTGCAGTCCATACCAATCTGACCATGGCTTAAATTGCTTCCTGACCCCAAAGACAGCAATTGTCCAACCCAACATGGAAAGGCAAGACCTGCTCTAGCCAGGCACCTCCGGCTTCGGTCCCAACAGGAGAGCTGACACAGCCCAGGCTAAGTCCCCAATGAATCTGAGGCTTCCCTAAGGACTCAGGTGTCATCCTGTGGGAGCAAGCGCTGATGAGGTCTGACAACTTCATCAGGAACAGCACACACATCACCTTCCCAGCCCAGGCCACAAAACCCTGGCTGGGAGATGCGCGGTCCTGATTGTTGGCCCACACGCACCCAACAAGGCCAGGGCTCCTGGGGGACCTTTCGTTGGCCCCAGCGGGAGCTTCTGGGGCACCGGGTCCCCCCTCCCCCCAATCCTGAGACGACTCAGTGCTTCAGGAGCTCGGCCCCCTCCCCCATCCCCCGGGAGGGGCTCACCGGGCTCGAACTCCAGCAGTACGGGCCCGTGCTTGGGCCGCCCCGCCGCGCCGCCCATCAGGCATTCCGCCAGGGTGCCGGCCAGGGCCGGGCAGGAGATGAACAAGCGCCGTCCCCGGGGAGCGGCCGTCCCCGCCACCAGCCCCGCCACCTCGGCCTTCGGCGGCAGCTGCAGCTCCCGCTGCAGCCCCCGGCGCGGGGCCCGGCACACCCCCAGCACGGCCCGGCACACCCCCAGCACGGCCCAGCACCCCGCGGCGGGGGGGCGCAGGAGGGACAGCGCCGCCAGCATCGCCTACACGTGCGTCACCTTCCCGGCGAGGCCCCCGCGCACTGCGCGTGCGCGGCCAGCAGGGCTGCACTTTGCTTCCGCTTCCGCCGGCGGGAGAGCGGCGGTCTAGCGCACTCTCTCTATGGTGCCTCCCGTTTGCCGCCGGGAGCTGGTCGCACTAGCGCGCGCCGCGGAGGCTGCAGAGGGCTCCCCACCCCCACCCACCGGGCCGGAGCCACTGAGGTGAGGGATGGGGCCGTGGTCGCGGGCGCTCGCGGGGTGGGGGGGAAGGGGTCGGCGGCTTCCGCCGGCGCAACCGGCTCTCAACGCGGCGGGTGCGGG